CTAAAAAAATATATATATAAAAATTAGCCAGGCATGGTGGCACATGCCTGTAGTCCCAGCTACTCGGGAGGCTGAGGCAGAAGGATCGCTCGAGCCCAGGAGTTTGAGGTTGCTGTGAGCTAGGCTGACACCACGGCACTCTAGCCAGGGCAACAGAGCGAGATTCTGTCTCAAAAAAAAAAAGAAAAGATAGATTCATTCCACAGTAAAAAAGCTGGAAGATCTCAAATGTCCAACATAAGAGGAATGGTAAATATATTATGGAACTGCCATGCAACCATACATTATGCAGCCTATATAAAGGAAGTTTATGAAATATTTAATACCATGGGATGGCACATGTTATAATATTATAAAGAGGACAAAGAAGCAGTAAAATATGTATACAATATGATCACGTATATAAAATAAACATATAAAACAAAGCCACGTGCTCAGAAAAAAGACTAGAAGAAAATATGCCAAAATTTTAGCAATGATCATCTTTGGATGATAATACTTTGTTTGAATCTTTTTGTTTTCTATCTTTCTATATTTCCAAAGTGTCTACCATAAACACACCCATGCTCATTCAGTTGTAGATAGGGCTGTATTTACAAAATAAACAGTCCTTGAAGAGAAAAAAGTAGATGAACCTAAGAAGAACTTTGTGTACATCACAACTTTTGGGATTGTAATAAGGCAATTACATCTGGGTTCTGGGAGTAAGATATTTACGTTTAATTCCCAGCACCACTACCTATCAGTTGGGTGACCTTGGGCAACTTGCTTAAATTTATTGTGTATCAGTTTTTTCATCTGTAATATGGGGACATTAATAATCTTTACCTCATGGAGGTATTGTAAGAATTGAATATAATAATATGTTTGAAAGGCTTAGAAAAGTGTTGGCATACAACAAATATTATTGCTAGTTTTGCTTGGAGTCTACCTGGACGGGCATCTTCTGTCTCCCTCTCTCTTGAGGCTGCCTGTCGTGAACTCATCCTGAACCACTTCAGAACCATGAGAATCCTTGCATTTTGGTCGACAGTATTCGCCCTTTAGAAATACAAGAGCCCTTATATCACCCATTGCACTTTCACACCTAAAGCTTATATAGTGCACACTCATTTTATGCTCATTTAAATTATGCAAGTTTAAAACAGTGCAATATAAAAGATTAGTGATGTCTCAATATATACACACATTTTGAAATAATAAAAATCTTCCAGACTAAAAAAAATTAGTCAAGAATCTTTAAAGTTCAAAACTGGTGGGCCAAGTGAATTGTAAACTATTTATGCTGCTGCTACGTGGCAGTTCCATCTTAGCTGGTAATCACAAAAGAATCCATGAGCAAACACTTACAAAGCACTTATGTACCAGGCACTGTGTTAAGTACTTTATACATACAAATTCATTTGGTCCTTTCAACAACTCAGTGAGGTAGGGATTATTGTTACCTCACAGGGCTGTGGGAAGAATCAAATGAAATAATTGTCTCACTGTCCTTGTCTTACAGCTGAGGAAACTGAGGCACAAACAGGTTAAGCTACTTGTCTAAATTCCCTCTGTTAGTAAGGGAAGGATCAAGGGTTGAACTAGGTGGGCTGGCTCTGGAATTTGTGCATTTAACCAACACCTCTTATAAAAGGAATAAATATAAAATGTTATTGGAAAATTACTTCGAGTTACTTGTTTTACTTTATGCAAGATCTGTAAGAGTCCTTTTGGCTGTGTCCAACAGACATTTGGGTGTTCTAATGTGCTGTGCTTACGTGGACACAATGCATTTTATGGGGCAGTCTATTGAACTCCTAAATTCTCTGTTCGTAGCTGCTGGCACCTACTTCCCTGGGATTTCTTTGCCTTAGATAAGAAATGGTATATGAAGCATCACTTTGGGGAGATGGCAAGTTGGAGACCCCTAGTGCTTAACTTCTGTTCTTTTTTACATTCTTTGCCTGTGACAGTCATGGACACCAATGACCTCAAATTGGTCAAGAGGTAAGAGGCATTTCCTTTGTAAGTCTACCTAAGGAGAGCTTGACCACTCAGTTCCTGGAAGGAAGAGTTCCCTCTCCAAGTCAAGTAGGAAGAATCGTTAGGATTTTTTTTTTCTGCCAATAAATGTTAACATCTCCCTTTTTTCTAAGTCCCTCAAATTCCTTCATGGAAATAAGCCTCTGGCTAATTTTTATTAATTACATTTTGCTAGTGTGCTGCTTCTACTTTTTTAAGTTTTAAGTAACTCTGGTATTTCCTTTATTGTTATTGTTTCCTTTTTTGAAAAAAATGTTGACTCATGGACTTTCCTGTTAGTTATTAAAGAAAGGAGACTTTGACTTTGCCACGCAAGGTTAAACCAGCAGGTGACAGCCTGGCCTTATATATCAATTGGGATATAAATGGAAAAGGCATTTAGAAACAAAAAGTAAGGCATCAGCTCCTGAGCATGCCTAGAAATAGTTTGCTCGTTTTATTCTACCATCATAAAACGTATGCAGTTGGTTGCTTTGTCCTCATGCTGTGGCAACGGACGAGGTCATGGAATGCCAGGCCTCCTTCAGCATCTCAGCTGCGCAGCCTTTCACGACCGGTGGGTGAGGAGGAGTATGCTGTCAGCATATCCAGACACCCTTTTTAATCTCCTCTTTATTTTCCAGTTGCGATCTGGAGCTAACTTACCTTGGAATTATAAATCAAAGAGGAAAAGAACTGTAATTTGTTGAACCATCACAATAACTCTCCAAACAATATTTTATAAAGACGATTTGGCCAGATGAAACTTTCCTATTAGTAAGATGTCCTTGAACCCTTGGCCTCAATAGAACCTTGCCCCATGGGTTTTATTGCTCACTCTTACAAACTGAAGAAAAATTCTGTTTCATTTTAGAATAGGAAAAAAAAATCCTCGATGTGCTTCACACAAGCTGTATGTTCTTGAGCAAGTCATTTAACTTCTTTGAACCTCAGTTTCCTCATCTGAAGACACCATTTGAAGTAATAAATGCAAATGGGCAATATATATTTGAAACATAGGAAAAAAAATCCAATCTCACTAGAACTAATGGAAATGCAAGTTTAAACCAATATTTGTTTACCAGCTGGGTAAAGGTATTTTAATATAAAATATTTTAAAATTCACAATTATAAAATTTATATTTTTCACATTATAAATTGTGACCT